ATATATATATATATATTTTTTTTTTTTCCTCTTTGGCCGGAAGAAGTTGACTACTAGTCTACATAAGCATTTTGACAATGGGATCGCATTCATTTGACCCGAAATAAGGGATAGTCAGTCGTAAGAGATTAATTTTGCACTTGTGAAACACATATAAATTAGTTCAGATTGAGGTCACATGTCCCCTTAATGCGTTCCATTTCATGTCCTTTTAATAAAATTATGTCACGTCAAAAATTAAAATTATTTTTAATTATTATGACTTTTTAATTAACGTGATATGAAATTTTAATTGACGTGTCATTATTAGATGATATTAAAATGACACAAGAATAAGAGGATATCGGAGTTGATTCTAACTAGAAAATTTTTAATCCGTGCAATGTGTCGTTTTTATTGTTTCCTTTTAATTAAATATGTCACCTCATTAAAACCTTTGACAGTAAAATTTAATATTTCATACATATTTAATGAAAGGAAAACGAATTAATCAAACATTAATATTAATATGAATACGTAAACTATATATAAAAAAACACATATAAATTACAGACATAATTTCTGATCAGGGAATAGGATCAGAAAAAGAGGAATAACAATTTGATTTTGTTCAAATAACAACTAACAAAAACTAAAGACGATATTATATGTTAATAATTATATACGGTCACAATCACAGCCTGGATTATGTTAAGTGTAATGACTTTAAATGTTGAGGCTCATAATTCAAATGATGAATCGTAAAAGTATACAATAACAATGTACGTTAATTGATCTTTTTTATTCTCTTCGTTGGGCAATGAGGGAGAAAACCGATCGAGTGGCCTACATGACCTGGCCGAGACCGAGAGCTTGTTCCAACAAATAAGTTGAACTTTGCATCAAAGCAGGACTCAATCTGAACATGAGAGTGCAAAACTCCATTTCGTCTAACAAGCCATCGCCATTCAAGTCACCTTCGCGCAGCATGCACATGATCTCTTCATCGTTCATATCCTCCAAACCCAACATCGCAGACTTGCTCTTTAAGCTATCGAAAGTGATCGCGCCTTTCTCTTCGTCCAGCAACAACCTAAACCCTTTGCATAGCTCCTTCATAAACCCTTCCGCGCCCAAGTTCTCCACCATGGCCGGGAAGAAATCCTCAAACACAAACCCTCCTCCAAAACACGCCATCAAATATTGATTGCTGAATGTAATTATTTGATGTCAAATGTTACGTGATATGTTAAACTGTTTAATTGCTAATATGGAAATGCGATTATACCAATATCTCTTATATAATGTGTCGTAACAAGAAGGTTGCTAGCTAGAGCTCGTATAACAATTAGTGTATTTATGGACGTTTGTTCTCCTTCCTCGAAGTTGCATGGGAAGGTAGCACTGATTGGCGTGGTTATGGGAAAAGCTTTTTTTCTAAGACTGCATATAATCTGCCTTTATGAAAATACCATCCTTACAAAATTGTTATATTAATAGACGTCATTGTTGGATAACAAATTCCCCTCGAAGTTAATTAAGCTCGACCTTTAAAAAAAAATAAGAACAGGAATCTTTTTCCAATGGTAAACATTTTTTTAAATGGGATAATTTCACTCAATAATTAAGTTAATACAAACTCTAATATAATCGTAAATGACCACCAAGATACTCAACCACAAACAACCTATTTGATCCATGAATGAAGACGAATAAGGGACAAAAGCGAACACGAGTGCCGAGACAAAATAGAGAAAGACCTACTCGACACATTAATAACGAACCGATGGAAGTTCATTCAACACGTTTTTAGTCGATGGATAGAACCAATCTATTAAGACCAAAAGACCCTAAATACTAAGGACATTGGCGATACCGTTAATAATCAGAAGCATACATATGAAAATAATCACAATGTGAAGAAACCACCTATGTTATTATAGCATAAGCGCAAAAGCATGCAAAAACTTGTGACGAAGATCCTACTTTGATAGTTATATTGTTATATGTGATAGGTGTAATTTCAGTGAGGAATTTACGATGATGATAAGTTATGATGTTATGAAAGATGAAGTTTATACCTCACTGATTGATGTAATTATAAGAGATAAATTATGTGCTATTTCAGATAAAAGACGTTTAGGAGGCGTGTACGGGCCGAAAGAGTCCTATTTTGCACTGAGCGCCCCTGTGAGGAGCTCACGAGGAAGATGCCAAGCTAGACTCGAATTTTTTATTGTCTCGTTAAAAATCTTATCAAGAAAAATTTAATTGCGATTCTTGCATGCGTAGTAAATTCATTAGTAGAAAATTGCCCTTCAACAGGAATACCACAATAACTGAAAGAATCCATTATAAAAAATAAGAACGATTCGAAAGAGAGAGCTTTAGGATATTTGTCATAGTTATTGGAAAAATTGTGAGAGAGATTTGAGAGATTGAGAGAGTTTGGGTGAGAAAAATGTGTGGAGGATGAGGGTATTTATAGGGAAATTTTTAAGTTAAAAAATTAATTTTTTCCCCCAAAATTCGGATCCAACGGCTACTTTCAATTTCGGCGGGTCGGGTTTGGGCGGTTCGGGCCAAAATTCGGGCAACGGTAAAAAAAAAAAGAGCCGTTGGAGTCCGGCAGGTCAGGTCGGGCACCAACGGTCAAAAATATATCCGTTGGTTGGCTCGGGCTTCGGGCAATTCGGGCCAGAGTGAAAAAATTCAAAAAAATTCTGGCGGACGACGGTTGACGGTAATATCACGGCGGTAGGCTCCGGCGAATTATCTATTTTCGGGAAGCCTGAGCCCAAAAATGGTGTTAAACGGCCGAACTTTGGGCCTGCCCACCAAGCCCAAAAAATTTGGGCTTCGAGCAGGCCCGCCGGCCTAAAATTCCAACACTAAGCTAGAGGCATGTTTGATCCTGCCTCATTAAGTTTAGGGAGCGGTCCCTTACTCTGAAAGTGGTTGCGCGCAATTTGGTACATTATCTGGGGCCCGTACTCGTGATACATGTTTAATGATGTAATGAATGACTGCACTGGAAGTATTAATTATGTTTTGTGAGATTATGGATGTTCTAAATAAGCGTTTCGCTTATTCAAGTTTTCGCACGTTGCAGATAAGGGTAAGAATATATCGTGAGAATAGAGGAGGCTCGGCGTGGATGTGCTCGTGGTGGCGGACACGGGCTATGGGAATAGGATTACTAGAGATGGAATTATTATTTATTTTACCTTAATTTGAAGAACCCTTAGGTTTATTTTATTATGAGAGATGGTTTTGAGATATTAGTTATTTTTTTTATTTTACACTTTGCAAAGGGGATTAGGTGATTTTGATGAGATATTTTGTTTTGTAAGAGACCGCCAGTTTATATGTTTAGTTTTAAAAGAAAAAGTTTGTTACGCATTTTAATGGTTCCATTTGCGTTCTCCTGAATATTATCATTATTATTATCTTCTATATTTCCGCTGTAAATGATTTTTAAATGTTTTCTATTCCGCACTAAGAATGAGATCGATGTTAAGATAACAATAGCGTTCCTGCTAGGGTGTTACATAAAACTGAAAAATAATATATATATTTTGACAGTTAAAAATAATAAATATAGATAAAAGAATGTATATAATTTGGGGTTTTCCGTACATATGAGTATATCTGGCAAATTGTGGATTTATGTAATGCTTCAAACGTTAAACAGGTTTAAGGTCGAATTTAACAAAGTGGTATTACTTAAAATATACTTTCTATACTTAAAATAATGTCATTTTTAAGATATGAAAACTAGTGGTTAATTTCATTACAAAATTTTCTTAAAAGTTTTTGAACAGTTAAAACTGAAAAATAATATATATATTTTGACAGTTAAAAATAATAAATATAGATAAAACAATGTATATAATTTGGGGTTTACCATATACATATGAGTATATCTGGCAAATTGTGGATTTATAAGTTTAGTAATGGTGTAAATTAAACCTAGGTAAATCCCAGATCTATTTGACTATGGAGTAAAGAATTTATCAAATTTGGTCATTAGTTAAATATGCACCTTTTCTTCTCCTGATTAAAGCTAGAACAAAAGCTTTTCTAAACAAGTCCTAAATCAGTTAACTATATTTTCTTTCCATACCAAATCTTCTTTGCTGTAAAAAGGGAGAAAAGTGACGAAAACACCTTGATTTGCATTTTGTTCCTTTTTTTTTTTTTTTTTTTTTTTTTTTTTTTTTTTTTTTTTTTTTTTTTTGTGACAATGACTAGCTAGTTTGGCCCTTTGAATCGCCCAGAAAATATAGAATGAGGATCCCTTTTTGTTTCATAATATTTTTTAAAGCGTGGTCTAGGGACAAGTTTAAAGCCCATCACCATTGGCCCAATCTCAGTCTCGGCCTCACCCCATCCCGCTTAAGTGCCCAACCCTACTAGGCCTGCAGGCTTGAAGTACTTTATTTATTTATTTGTTTATTTAAAATTCCCCTTATAAAGATTCAAGCTGTCGTGGTGGTCCGAAGTTCCCAGTTGAGCCGTGGACCCGGATTAGACGGCCCGAATTTTTAACTCTAAACAAATCTTAAGATCTATTTTAAAAATAAAAAACGCATATATATGATCAACACATATATTATTTCAAGATAAATTTTATAAAGTTCCCTTTAAACTATGTTATATTTTTCATACTTTAAAACGTATATGTTGTGCTTCTTCTCTATTACCTTTAGATACATCACTTGAACTTTGAGACACGTTATTTTCTTTTGATTACATTATTGAATTGTCACTTGATAAAAGGTTAAGTATAGAGGGTAATCAATGCCTTTCGCTCTAGATAAATTAGTCCGACACCAAACTTTGGATATAGATTTTTTTTTTCTTAGAGTAGTTGATGAGAAGCAATTAGAGGGAGAAAAAAGAGGAGAGGGAATCTTAATTCAATTTGGTTAGTCAAAGATGTAAAGAAATTAAAAACTTTGCCCATCTAATATGCATCGCATGCGCTATTCTATTAAAGAAAAAGGGCACGTTTTAAAGTTCAGGCGGTGAATCTAAGATGTACTATATATAAAGGATGCAACATGCACGTTTTAAAATTTAAAAGTCATGTTAACACAAATAACATAATTAAAAAAAAACGCAAAATACATAGAGAATTATTCATAGATCAGGTACGGTAAATACACTATGTACGTACATAATAATTGTCCATGCATGAACTTTTCTAATATGTTTTTCCATATAATAGAACTTAATGGGACGTTTAGTTCATGGGTTCAGAACCATGATTCATGATTCAGATTTTTGAAATTTAAATTTTTTGTGAGAGAAAAACACTGTAGAGAACCAAGAACTATGATTCAAAACCATAGACGAACCCTTAAAACAAACATCCCATAAATGATTAATTATCCTTTTTTTCCAAGTAAATTATAACTAGGCTAAACTATATATACACACATCTGGCCACTAACTAAAAAGTCCATATTATCTCGTTTTTAGTACAATACAGAATTAAACCCCAGCCCTTTAAATCAAATCCCACCACGTCCATATCGTTCCAAACTTGGGGGGTCATTGGGGCGTCATTATGTTTGTCGAATACGTAGCCTTCCACTCATTTATCATATGATTGATTCTCATGATTTATAATTAAACCTATGAAATCATTATTGACGGCAGAAATTTGTCAACAGAGATAAATCGGATTTTAAAGTGGTTAGTGCGATTTGGATGATCAAAAACACGATTCAGAAATATTAAGCAACAAAAGCACATAAATATTTATAGTGGTTTATTCTTTATTCAAGAACTACGTCTATTGTGAGGGGAGGAAAATTCACTATCTTTTGAGTAAAATGATTCCAGTCCCTCCTTCTGATCTAGTCCTCTCTACATATATATCCCCTTACAACCTTGGTAATTTCTCTTATCTTATTTAGGGATATTTTCTCTATATTTTGGGATAATATCCCCGGTTGGTTGGGATTTTTGTCAATCAGCGTGATTTTCTCACTTACTTCGTTTATTTTAATTACAAGTCACAAATCTCAGAGCAAGTCCCGTATCTCTCTCGATCTGCATGGACTCGACTTTATAAGCGCTCTCGAGTCATCTCCACTTACAACAGTTGGTGCGATCGACCTCCTGTTCTTCTCAACTCTTCGGAGCAATCGACCGCCTTCGTAAGCTATTCCCCCTTTACTGGCATTATACTTCCAAGAGAACCTTTGTCCGACATGGCAGTTAGGACAAAAATGCATTATTAAATATCCTTATTTATGATGCGTGGATCCCCTCCAATGCCCAAGTTAGAATTTGGAAGTTTTACCCCACAACAATCATGATATATGTAGACCCACCAGAAACCATCATAAAATAAGCCACAAGAGTGCAAATGAAATTAAGAAAGAAATTATTCATTAAACAAGCAGGGATTGATACATAGTACTAGGAAAACAAGATCGAAAATTATGCCACGGCTGATTCAAAGAATAAAATCTATAAGAAGACACTAATAATCACTAGCAGCAATATCCTCCAGCATTCCCCTTGAGGCTTTCATCAAATCGGGACTTAGCCTAAACATGACAGTACAAAACTCCATCTCGTTGAGAGCTTCATCACCGTCCAAATCGCCTTCTTTGATCATACACATTATCTCTTCATCGCCCATGCCTTGCAGTCCAAGCAACGCGGCGTTCCGCTTCAAGCTCTCGAACGTTATGACGCCCTTCTCTTTGTCCATCAACAAGTGGAATCCATTGCACAGCTCTTTCATGAACCCTTCGGTGCCTAACTTCTCGACCATGGTCGGGAAGAAGTCCTCAAACACGACCCCGTTTCGCGACGCCATTGTTCTAGCTAGCTGTCCAAGTAACAACAAATACTAAATACTGTTGATTATGATGACCAGGATGGAATAGAAAAAGGAAAAGAAAAAAAAAAAAAAAAGAAAGTTTATATTTGGGATACGTAAGTTTTCTTGTGCTGACAACAAAGGTACATATTAGGAGATTATTTATAGTGACGGGTCATTTCCCAGGATCTTTAGGAATTGCATTATTTGTGGCAATTTTTAGGTCTGAAGTGATTAGGAAGTTCTCCTTCCTCGAAGTTGCATGCGAAGGGTCCCAGTGATGGCAAGAGAAGCTGAGCATGGGGTCTGGGCGGCAATTTTATTATTATTATTATTATTATTATTATTATTATTATTTTAAACAAATCTCAATCCCTTTCAGTGTTGTCAACTTTCGTGGAAATTATTTTTTGAAAAAATAGAGTAGAAAAGGAAAAGAAAAGAAAGTTAATTGCTATAGTTTTTATTAAGTAAATGATACCAGAGAATCTCTTAAAGAATATTGGCCATAAAACTTGCTAGCTCATTAATTAATTAATTAATTAATTTATTGTTTTTTATGATAATAGAGAAGTCTGGGAAAAAGACAACTAGTATTAACATATCTCTGGAAGGTTTTCAAAGAACTTCTTCGATGCTGACAAGAATGCTCGTTACAAGTACTACTCTATCCTATCGGGCCTTACCTCTCGATTAGGAGTTTATCAGTCCACAGAATGCGCTAGCAGTAATGATATTTCGGGTATGCGATCTCAGATACATATTATTTGAGTACTAATTAGCTAGTAAAAATAAATCTTTACATTTAAAATTCTTAGAGAGAGTGATCACCTAACACTTAGAATCTTTAATTATAGACCCACCAAAAGAGTCCATTACGGCTAGTAGTTTATTATCGGTTGGTTAGCCCACTCGGTGGTTGATTGGTCTAATTCCTATTGAACTTGAGAGAGTACTATTCATTATTAGTGTGTTGTTTATAACTAGCTAGCCCCTACGACACCAACTTGCTACTTCAGTACTGTGCCAAGTTGAGCAGCAGTAGTACATGTTGGTCCATGATAAATTGTATATCATCAAGGAAAAGGAGAGCACAATTGTTTTTTACGGCCTAAAGATTTGTTCAATATTTTATCTTTGTGGCCCCTCAAAATAAGATCGAAATTATTTCGTCCATGCGACAGATAAATTATTGGAGCTAGCTTCTATTTCTCTTTTTAAGTCAGCCACTATGATCATTAGGCCTTAGATTTAGCCAGTACAGTACAACACGAGCAAGACTATGAGACGTTTGGTTCATGAATTAGAATCAATTTTGATTTACGTGTATTTTTTATGAGAGAAAATACTGTAACGAACTATGAATCATGATTCAAATCATGGTATTAATTCTCTTGTCAAACGTCTCTTAAAGAAAAACTTTGCACATGGAAAGACAGTAGTGCCTAAGCGTAACAAAAGATAAAAAAAAAATATTTGTGTCCAGATATTACTAATATTCAATTCAACCTCTTTTTGTCATCTAATCCTAAGCTTGCAAATCTCTCTAGGATGCTCTTCTTGTCTTTGTAGTGCAATGCACAGAGGAAAGAAAGAGGAGGCTTCCCCTCTAATAAAAACAGTAAACAATTATATAGTGAAAATGTTAAGGAAGCTGCTCTTATAATGGGAATGGGCTCTAAATTCTAGAAGAGTACAGAGTTTGCAGCCTCGTTTTGTCCGAAAACTAGTGGACAACACACAACAACTATAACTGTAGTCAGACAAATGTTTTACATGCCGCTTCAAAATAAGGTGCATTTTGGTTACCATATGATCATATTAATTTAGTAGGTAAAGAGTCACACTCATTAATGTCCTAAGTCACTTTGAGAAATATAACTGGATAGTAACTATTAAGTCATGGAGAGTAATTAATTGCTCTGACCATTTATTATTTTACGTGGAGGATTTCGCTAATTGATCTTCACGGTTGCAAGGAGAGCGGAAAGCCCCCCCTCTCGGGAGTGCAGGGGCGGAGCCTCCGGACTAAAATTTCATTAAAGACAGTTTGGAGATTTCACGCTTGTAAAATTCTGTTGTTCTAATTTTCATTATAAAAAAAGGAATGTCGTTTTTAGGGTTACTTAGAGAGGTAGAAAAAAAAATATATACAAAGTTGAGAGGTGTGTGATTTTTTTCTTGTGACTTATTTTTCATCACAGTGAAAAAACTGGAGCGGCTGAAAAATAATGCAATCTCATATTAAGGTGAATCTCTATAAATTTTGTATGTCGATTTTTCTTGAATTATTTTTTTTTATGATTTTATTGCCCTCGAAAATTAGAATTAAGAAATTTAAACTCTGTTCATTTCATCAATTTAAATTTAAAATTCAAGTTTTACTACAATAAAAAACTCTCAGAAACAGTCGCTCTAATTTTTTTTATTACAATAAAAAATTCTCACATAAAATCACATATTAACTCAAAATAAAAATTTAAATCAGGCCATAATTCTTAACCGTACTCAAACTCAAAACCCATCACACAAAAGACAAGTTCAAGTATTTTGAACTAAAAAATTGTTTTAAATTAGCGTTTAGCAAAATTTTTTGAGGATTGGTTCTTCTAAAGTGTAATAAATTGGCCTTTCTAGTTTCTATCACTTCATTAATATCTGTAGTTAGTATATGATTGGTACGTACTAATTCTTTTCAGAATTTCAATCCATAGTCTCCTACTTGTTCGGCTGGCAGAAGTGTTATTAAATGTCCTTGAGTGAGCCCTTGACCCTTATGAACTCGTACATACGAGTGTGTCACTTCACTAAGATTTCATTTATTTTATTAATTTAAATTTTTAATTTTAGATTTTTATAGTAAAAAATTATTAAAAAATATCACTTTTTTTTTATTATAGTAAAAAATTCTAAAAAAATATCACATTTTAATTCGAATTAAAAATTTAAATTTATAAAGTGAACGAGACTTGAGAATATATTGAAGCACAAACACCAAAAATCATACTCCAAATAGGTCGCTAGACTTTATACTTTTATGACCCACTGAGACCATGTGCCATTGTGCCTATGTTGCTTCGGTGAAGGTTTCTGTGTGTTTTCCACAGGTTTTGTTTTTTTTTTTGTTTTTTTTGTTTTTTCTGTACTTTTTTTTTTGCTCATCTTTTTTGTGTAATTCTTTTGGCCAGTTACCTATCTTTAAATGACATGTTGCATAAAGAGTGGGGGTCCAATTAAGCTATACCTATACGTAAGAAAACAACATGTGGAGCTGAATATTGTTAGTTAACCACATTTTAGTACCTCTTGTTTTTATCCTTTGTGCAATTAACTATAGGATAGTTTTATAAATACCTTTTAAAAATGCACTTATTAAGATTTTTACTTTTTTATTTTTAATTCATAACATTTTTAGTTAAATAATTATACTAATAAAAAAGAAATAAAAATGCAGATTCATCTATTTTAAAGATAAATTTTCCATTTTTTCTTAACTTTACATGTAAAGTGTCCAACAGATTTTTAAGGGCCAAACTTGTTGTCTTTAGGTGTTGTTAATGATTCAAACAAAAAAAAAAAACATTGTTGTCTTTAGGTGTTGTTAATGATTCAAACAAAAAAAAAAAACATTGTTGTCTTTAGGTGTTGTTAATGATTCAAACAAAAAAAAAAACAGAGAGACCATTTCCAAGAGCATGCAGACGTCTCCATCCAAGGAAACTAGTGATTTTTCATATTGAGTGACACTTTGTCTTATTTTTCCTCTCAAATGAAAGATTTATTAAAGCACCAACAAGAGAGAATAGTTTTAGAAATTTAAACAGACATATTATATATATATATATATATATATATATATATGCACATTCTATAGACACAGAATGTGTTAATTAATATCATTAGCAGTAAACATACGTAGTAGTACATTAAAGCTGGTACGTTTACTTCACGCTAAAACTTAATCATGTGTCTACTTATAATATTAGAGAGGGTAGTTTGGTAAATTTCACGCAATACAAACGAATAAGAAAATAGAATGTCATTAATCCTTCTTCCGTGAGAGGGTAGTTTGGTAAATTGCACACAATACAAACGAATAAGAAAATAGAATGTCATTAATCCTTATTCTGTTTAGTATTGATTCCTGGTTGAAAGAATAAATGTTAAATTTACTTATATACCTTGACAAATTCACATATTATAAGCCAATTAATATACCAATGTTTACTTAATTATGCATATAGATATTTTAATAATTACATTAATAATTTTTTTTATGGGAATAAAATTTCTAGTAAACAATAGAAAAAAGAATTTGAATATTGTTTCTCATCACACCTTCTATAGGTAAGTTATTACGAAAAAGATAATCAACGATGAGTCTTAGTACTTTCCTTTCTGTACCCACTATTTTTCACATTACATTTCATTATGATTTGGTAAATATGCCCAAAAATTCATATAGAATATATTAAGATGGGACACAATTATCTATTAACAATGTTTGATGGTAGAATACAAAAAACAAAAAAACAAAAAACAAATAAAAAACGCTATTTTTTTAAATGAATGAAGAGAAAAAGTAATTGACATCAAAGTTTAACTGAAATATCGTAAGTAGATTAATGGCACCTCTCTAAAAAAAATAAGCTCATAAGAAATTACAAAGAAAACACAAAGCATTTTAATTAGAATCTTCCAATAGAAAAAAGAAAAAAAAAAAAAAAAAAGGAGGAGCGGAAGACCGAAATAATCACGAGCAGGTAAATGCAAGAAGCCTGGAGTGAAATGCCGCTAAATGGCTTAAAAAAGATTCAATGCAAAGATGAGGACTTATTGACAACTTGATTACCCTCTGAATGAGCATAAGAAACAACAAAAGTATTAAGGGCTGTTCTTTTGCTGTTTTTGAGTTAGGTGATTTGAGTATAGATTTTGAGTTGAATTTGAGTTATAACTTGAGTTAAAGTTATAATTTGAGTTTGTGTTTGGTTGTGTACATTTGAGTAATGATTTGAGATAAGAATCTTTTTGAGTTTGTGTTTGAGTGAGTCAAAACTTAAATTTGTATTTATATAGTATTTTAATAAAAACTCAATACTGATAGAAAATTTT